TCGTTCAATAACCTGTGGTTTAACCGTGGTTCGCACGGCCTATGCTCACTCAAAGACAGCATCCAGCACAGCGTTTAAGACTGCTATTTTAACGCAAGAGGCACCTTACACCTCCACGTGAACTCTGTGCTATTGGTCTCCACATGACATACTTAGTGGTCGACTCATAGAAATCGATGAGTCTGCAAAAAGGCTATTCTGTGTTTAATGTGGTTGAAATGCTGGTTTAGCATTTTCTCTGTTTGGTTATGGAGGTGTTTGGCTGGGTAGATTGCGGTCAACCTGATCGTTCCATGATCCGAGGAAGGCGAAATCCGCCGAAACGTCAGCTTCATCGCAGTAACAAGTAAAATAACATTCATCTTTGCTCATTGACAATATAAAGAAGTAACCGGCGCAATTTTTGCCTAATATCGTATTTCAAAGAACGCGTATGGCGCAGTGGTTGGAGGCACCATTGCGGCACACACGTGGAATCGATTCCCGCGCCCATGGTTCACCAAGTCCTCCATCCCTCTAGGGTCGGCAAATTGGTACCAGACTTGTCGGGATAGCAGCATTGGCTCGATACATCGATAGGCCACCGCGAGTCATTGTAAAGGTCAGATATGCATTCACTCACCTCCAACGATACTTAGTGAAGTCGAATGCATGGTGCATCCCTCAGGGATTGATCAACGTCAAGAGGTTCATCCTTTTCTACCTTATTTCATTGTTTATGCACACGTTAACAGTTTTTTGATTTTTGAGAGAGTTCCTAACGTGCTTGCCTTTCCTAGATCATTGTTGCCCATATAGTCAAACCTTGTGAATCACACACAGAGAGACAACTTTGTTGCCTTGAAACTAGACTTCTTTCATGATTGCAGCGTTACAGTTACACCGGGCTGGATCTATGTTTCGAAATGTGGAGATTCTTCTCAGCGGAAACTGCTAACCAATTGTTTTTAATCGGACTTCGAGATCAGGGCGCAGCCACTTCCCGTTGGCTCACTATGAAGCCATAAATCACTGAGTAGTCACAAAGTTGACGTTTTTTATTAGTGCACAGATGAAATCGTTAGAGGAAATCATATTTAATGCTAGGAGCAGAAAGTTAATTGAACTGCTCACTGTTTCGATCCACTGCGAAAAATTCCTCGTTTTCTGGATATAACATGTCTGCCCAGAGCCATCAAAAGTTAGCATGATGGACACACAAAACTACAGCGAAGACAAGGCCAAAACAAGATTTACATCACATATAAGTATCCGTTTTCTCTGTTTTCTTGCGAAGCACCCACGAAGCAGTTACTACAAACCTGTACATACATAACAGCTGACGTTTCTGGTAATTTCTCCTTCTTCATAGCCTAGAAAGATCAAGTCAACTGCAATCTAGTCGGCCAAATACCTTCACAACCTCGACAGAAAAGGTGAGATGTCCAAGTTTCAGTCGCAATAGAAGAATCAAATTCTTAAAACAGCCACCATTTTGTATGAGTCTACTATTGAGTATTCCACTTGGAGGCGAACAGTGCATAGCTCAAACATGGCTAGGCAGTGACCCGTTCTCATATCAAAATATCGGTCTGAGATATTGCGTGAGATCACGTGTGATAACGAAACATTCCTCTCTGCACATTATTTTCGGATTATTTTCTGAATGGAATAGACTGTTTATTTTTTTATTTATTTGGATTACTTTAGGTCTGTCGAATTAGGTTTTTTTCTCATTCTTTTTCGTTTTTTCAAAGGCAGATCGAAAAGTTGCAAAGTCATTGCTATAGTAGCACAGACCTGATACACCCGCAGACCACCGAAAGTCCTTTCACAAGCGAAATATGCTTTCAATCACTCGAGCAATCCTTGATGAAGTGGAATGCATGACACATTTCCTCGGAGAATGGTCAACTTCGAGCGCTCCATCCTTCCTGCTCTATGCTCAATCCTCTCTTCTTGATCGCAGTGTGTTTCATTAGGTCATGCAAAAATCACAGTGCTTGCTTTCATCCGTGCCACAAAATCGATAAATCTTTAGCCAAAATGGTTAATTTCGCTTACTACTTTCCTACTGTTTATGATGCGGTCAGGTTTCTAAATCGGCTAAACAGACTTCTTGTTGATATTATTGTTTCAGTGAACTGTTGAATCCAGAATGACTGTATTCAATGTTATTATTAAAGGTATTATAAGTACATCATCAATAAGCGGACCCTTGGTACGGGTAATCCCGTGTTCGAGGCCAACGTGAAGCTCGCAGTTTTCCTCATTTCTCTTTTTCTCTCCATCGTTATGAAAGTACACCATTAACATCCTGATTTGTTGATGTTCTTATAGTAGGTTGTTTTAAATCTTTGTTATGGTTCACGTTTTGGCAGTTTCGCGTTCATCAGAGCCACTATGGTTCGAGTCGGGTGTCCACAACAGTCGCTCCATGTTGCGTTGTTGACTATCCTTTTCTTCGTATCGAGGCGAATAAAGTGGAGTGATCGAGCACCGCGCGAATGAAGTAGCGTCCCCAGCGTTACTTTTCATAGCAAAATTTAAAAAATTCATAGCAACTTCGTGTAGGCTCATTAATAAATCAAAGCATTGATATGTATACCGAGGATCAATGAAGCTCGGAATTGAAATGTACATCGTCAATGTGCTATTACTGAAGGGTCATCACTTCTTCTTCCTGTTAGTTCACCATTTTCGTTTTTTTACCTAATCCATTGCTTTTTCTATTAGTCGTTCTATCTAGCGCAGTTAGTTCCGTCCAACCATGTCCGCCCATTTCAACTTTATTGCCTTCTTATCTTTTTTACATGAAGGCCTTAACTGCTATTGAGCAATCCGACTCGCTGAGCAACTAGGAGCCTTCTCGTGCATTTGAACGCGTTCCCCTTTCAGTGGCCTTTGTCGTGGAATCCGGAGGGAGGCCAACTTTCGTACTTAACAGTGCATGAAGTCTGTAAAGAGTTATGCAATTTAAGATATGTTATCATCACATATTACAAAATGCTAATATACGGCTTTCATCTCGGATATCTCAGATCCCGGATTAGAACGCTGCAAAGTTTTTGGTGGTAGCAGTTTTTTTTTTCATTCGCTGTCAGCTTTCGCGTGAAAGCAATCCAGAGAAATTCTTCCGAATCATCTCTGCCGGTTTGAAGTTGCCACGATCGCATGTGTAGTTGTAGCCGTAGGCAAGTGAGTGTGCGCGTGCCGAATTTTTATCTGAAAATCCAATTTTTCCCAGCTTGTTATGTGTCGTCGACGTCGTCTCCGGACGACGGCGGTGGCGGCGGTGGCGGCGACCAAGCGTCTCGACTACGCCACGCCCTGAGGTCCCTTCAGTCGCGCATATGCGTTGATTTGTTTAGGAGGAAGGCCTTTGCCCGAAAATTTTATCCCCGTCACTCGTTTCGCTCACATTCCTCTTCTCAGTCTCACCACTGATGACGTCTACACTCCCACACACACCCATACATAATTGTACCTATCGTGAAGGACTTTCACTAGGATTTCGTATTTTAGGCCGTTCTCAATATTACTGTCAAAGCGTCGTTATTACACCATTAACGTAACCTTTCAGATTCTTTCGAAGACCACTAACTACTGAAAGGCTGAACCAATCGATTTCATAATAGAGGTTTATTTGCGCAAGCGTTGGATACTTAGTTTGGAACCGATATTTCATTCCTTAGCTGTAAAGTGAAATTAGCCAACGGATTAAAACAACGGCTCTCCATGCAACGGCTGAAACCTAGGATTGCGATGTTTTAGTGAAACGTCCTTCCTTAATTAAGATTTCATGTTCATCGAAAACTAAATGGAATCCGATTAGCTAGAATAAATGACTTATCGATACGAAGAGACAACGATGCAACTATTTTAGGTAACAGAGTTCCACTGGAAAAGTGGTTTTGAAACTGTAGAAATTGTTGACGAGCTTTATTGACCTTGAATTAGTCACCTTCTTATAGGAAAACCTAGGCTTGGATTCTGATCATTTATTTCGTTTTTTTGCAAAATTTCTTTATTATTCCTTACGGTGATTCTAAAAGTGTCGTATTCTCGTGAGCTTGCTTTTATTGTGGAATCACTAAGAGACGGTATACCTTCTTGTTAATTTTAATGTTATTGTCCATTCCAGTCATCTGAAGTTGTCCATGTCAGAACTCGTAAAAAACAATGTGTATGTTAGCATTCTTGGAAAAACAAACATATCTCAAAAATCCAACTCATGCGGAATTTCTAGACGACTTCTACGAATCTCCTAAATCGCGCCGTATCACATCGCTCCAATCAGATAGTCCCAGTTAAAAAGTGATAGAAGGTTCTATTACATTTTACACAATACTTTAAGGTGTAATGGCGGAGATGCGTATTGATTAATTACTTCAATTACTAATTCTGTGAATGTAATGTTTTAGAACAGCTGCCGATTACTCATACTCCTTGTTTTTGTTCTGTTTGTTTTTTCTAGTTATTATCAACAATATCGGTGCCTTTCTCTCAATATTGAATATTTATATAGTTAGTTAATATAGTCATGCCCAACAGTACATTTTTTCTTCCTTCTATATCCGCATAGCTTCTAGATTCCTTCTTTCTTACGTCGATACTCAACTAGCAAAGATTGAAGCTGTTGACATTCGTTCTTTCTCCTCCTTTTTCACTTCCTTACGCTCGTGCACAAATTCTGACACAAGACGATCGGGTTTTCATCAATAACATCATTTTATTCATCTTTAACTCCAACTAACTCGCTTGACATCTCTATTGATGCCCGATATGATCGTCGTCCAGACAACGCTAATTTTCAGGCAGGCCTTCTACAACCTCATCGGCCACAGATACACTGGAGGAGCTACTTGTAGTGCTTTTGCTTGTCGTAGATACACATTCTTGTCGATCGTCATTGTCATTGATACTACCGTCTTTTGTCGTCTGTATAACTGCGCTTCGAGCGGCGTCGAAATCGCAGACGAGGCGCTGCCTCGTGCAGGGTCGTCTGGCATTGAACCAGCATGTTGTACAGTCACGTAACGCTGCTTATGCTGCGCGTGGTGGACGTGATCGCGAAGACGACCGTACAACAGTCTGCCAGGATGCTTGTCGCCGAAATTCCTGGAGAAATTCAGGTGAGCCCTGAGAACTGTGTTGTTCTTCTATGCTCTATTGTCAGCGACATTTATCCCCTTGCCTCGACTTTATGGCTGTATTGCTCACTGTGAATACTACTAAAAAATTTAAGTGCAATGGATTTTAAGCGCGTATATGAAATAATGGAGATACGAATTTGAGGTGCAAATGACGTTTGAGGCAATATGGTTTTAGAGGGTCCATGAAGGTTAAGGAATTCTAGGGCTATACGATATATTTGATCGAACCACCCATTTTCTTAACATCTAAGACACTTTAGAGATTTATTTAGGAAGCTAGTTATAGAATGAAACTTCGGAAAGGAAAAATTTGAAGGACAGCAGCGATAAGAAACTGATAGCAATTGGAGCGCTGCCCAAACGGAAAGGATTCAGTGAACTAGGATTTTTAAGCAAAAAGTTAGGTTCAGAATAAGCCAGCCGTGCAGGCATCAAATAGTTTGGAATATTATAACCGTTAAAGTTGCTATCATTTTTGCTCTACCTCATCCATTAGTTACTCTTTTATTACCTCATACAGTTTCGAAAGATAGCTTTAAAAATAACAACGTTAACAGTCTAAAAACACTCAACTGAAACGTAAACGAAGATCGAGAATTCATCAACCAATTTTGAAAAGCCATCGCTTTCAGACTTAATGAGACGGTTGTTCTTTTGTTGAATTTAGAACTGTAAGAACCTATCTATGCCTTACGTACAGTTCATTCAGTGCTTATTGGCTACCATTAGCGCTTACTGTTCGCTGATTGATTGAATGCTGCTGGTACCTCGATTCGTGATTGGTTCGTCGTCTTTTGGTAAAAAAGAAAAATCTGTCCTAAGATTTTATATGGAATTTGAATTTGGTTAAAGAACCATAGAAATTTGTTTTAGTTAGTTATTAGGATTTCTAACCAATAGATGATGAAACTTCCCAACGCTCTTCTTCCAATTTTTCAGTGCATTTAGTTTATTCAACCATTATTTCTCCTTTTGAAACGATCCAATATACTGAAAATTATGTGTTTTTAAAACCTCACTCCACCCTCAATTTTTATTTTTCAAAAAAAACGAAAAATAACAAGGCTGATAAATACACTTATACAATGGTAAATAATGAGCAGGGACGGATCGCACATTGGTAGTGATCACCGTCATCACGAGCATGGTGTAATTTCGATTCCGCTCCAGGCCAACCAGGCCTCTCATCCCTTTGTAGTCAGGAAATTGGTACCGGACTTCTCTGGGAAAAAACCATTCTCTGCAGTCCAATTGGGAACGTTACAGCCCGACTATCTCAGGACTTCAGGGAGAATTTCTCGACCAGCATTCTACGACATTCAGAATGAAATGAAAATCCTCAAGCAACAGCCGAATCCACACGTAAAGTTGGAAGATCTTCGTGGAAAATGAATGCTAGGAAACGAATCGAATGTGGGAATCGGTGGGATCCGCACGGTAGACGCGAAGATGGGTCATATAAAAAATGAAAATAGGTAATATTCAGTTGTCGACGCACTTATTCAACAAGGCTCATCAAGGGAAATAAAGAATGTCAGTGAAGGAAAAGATTACTCCAACAAATATAAACAAATAAGAAAATAAATAAAAATACTACCATAACAAAGTAATGGCTTTCACTGGAGAGTGTTAGATCATAAGAGATTCTTTTTTTTAATTCCGTTTTATTTTCTATTAGTTGGTTCCTTGCACGTGTAGGTTTTTCGTAATATGAATCAATGAATAATTCCGAATTACTGGCTAACCCATCACGTCCCTCATAATCCAAATCATGACGGCTAAACATTTCTTCCGAATGGCAAATACGAATTAATGCCTCGGTTGGCGATTTTGGTGCATGACGTCGACGACGGCGTGGCCCATATAGGTCTCAAAACATTACTGTATTGCTTCTGATGTTTTTATTTCTTTCCTTATCCATATTTATAAACACATATAAAATTTTTGTAACTGCACATATTATTTTTTGTTATAACTATTATTGCTATTTTCGTTGTATGAACGTGTAGCATTTTTAATTCCTTTAGCCGTCGAGTGAGCACCAGTTCAATCAAAATGCCTTTCTTACGCGTTCCAGAGCTGTTCAGTGAGCTCCACTTCCTGCACACGGACAGCAGAGTCTTTTACTTCCACACTTTGAAAAAACCAGCTTTCGTTCACTTTTCAGCTGAACGGCCTTTCCAGTACTATGCTGTACAGTAGATATTCATCAGCCATATCCGTTGAGAATTTTACCACCACCCACAGAGAACTACCTCATTTTTGAGGTTCAAAAAAATGTACACAGATAGGGAATCATAGGTGAACTGATCCACAGTAATAGAAGGAAGATTGAGTAAGCCTTGAGAGGACGCAGGGAGACTAGACTTACAAGATATGTCATTGACTAAAATCGACCATCTTCCTTTACTATCGTAAACACTCTAGGTATCTTTGTGCGATGCTAACACATCACCGCCCTCGAATTAATCTCTGGGTGTTGGCGACCATCGCAACGATAAAAATATGAAGGAAGATTCCACATGACCTGTGAACTTAAACCATGTATGTGCCAAAGTGATATATATATATATATACCTGCATATTTATATTGGAGCAGACTTTGGTAAGTGTGACCTCGTGGCTCCAGTGGCTAGGTCTGCAAAACCCCGAAGAATGGAGAATATGCCGGAGTCCGCCCGCACAAGCATTGAGGACGGGCCGTCAAAGTATTAAATTAAGCATATGTATATGTATAATATAATATACATATAATATACTTGATACTTGAATGACCCATCCTCACTGGTTGTGCGGTCCCCAGCATAACCTTCATTTTTCGGAGATTTGCTGGTTAAGCCATTTTGTTTTCTTGGAATCCTGAGGTCAGCTTGGCCAAAGCCTGCCCCAGGTCTTCACCACCGCAGGTAGCCGCAGTCCTTGTGGATCAAAGAGAGATTTGCCACCATGCGACTTTGATACCAGGACAGTGGTGGATTCTAGTATTGATTTACCCTTAGCTACGCTTCCTGATGAAAACGACATACCCTTCTCAGCTTGGTAGACCCTGCCAGGGATGGATCCCCCGTTGTACATCGCAGCCCGGCACCCAGAAACACCTCCCATCCATGGTGAGGCGGTAAACCGTTGGAAGGATATATAATATATATATATATAATATATTACTAACATATGTAATGTAATGTAATATGCGTAACGTATACTACGTATTGCAGTGTATAACATATATAATAACAATATGTATATGTTTAACGTTTTGTTTTCTGCCTTCTATAATTTTCATGGCAGGTTACTAAGCGAAATACAACCACAACGTTGCTGAGATATTTGCAAAACTCTGGACCGCAGGTGTCTATGGTGGGGAACGAACGCGCTATTATCCTTTCCGGGGAGTAACGCGTTCACCACCACACCATGCGGGTCCTTTGTTTCGCACGTCTCTCAGCTATTTCTATCGATCTATCGATCTATCGTATATATATAATATGTATATATATATATATATGTGCAATGTAATGGCTCACATCGTCGCCTTTGTGCTAAGCGCCACTTTTGCCCTTCAAGAAATCTCCGGTCGATTTCATGTTCTCATGTTGCCAACACAATGCATTATTGAGTGGACAGACAATGCTTGGATAATTGGGGAACGATTTTGCGAACTATGAGAAACGAGCATTCAGAATGTTTTTCGTTACACAACGTGTCGGATGAAAAATTAGCGCTTTGCATACTTCTTATTTGTGGTTTTGAGAGTTGATGGCGCAAATCCAATCTTGTCGATGTTATGCCATTTTAATTTTCTTTTTTTTTTTACCTGATTTAGGGATTTTCCACGTCCAAGGTTTTTACGGAGCATCAAGGTTAATAAGGATAGCTTAGCATCACTCTCACATATGCTGTGGCTGGTTGGACTATTACCTCACCGTCTCTATTCGTCATCACTTCACAGTCGATCGTTAGAATTATCTGCTTTAGATTTACTCCTGCTTTTGAGTTACGAAGTCCGCTCGGTCCCAGTTCACCAAAGAAAAGAAAAGTCATCTCATAAAGCCTAATGCTTTTTGCGTCCGAAGATTAGCTGTTGATCATGACGTCTACTTGCTCAGATTCTTAGTCAAATGACTGGAGAGATGACCTATGCTTCGAGGATTTCCATTACCAATTAAGTGTTTTTGATTTAGTCTTTCGGATATCTTCAGAAAAATATGATCGGAAGTCTTTTAGAAACGCTGATGAAGAGTGGTTTTTCTCGGTTCAAAGTTGTGATGAAAAACAAAGAATGTAGAAGGAGTGATAGACTTTAAAAGAACGAGTCAATTTGTTGAAAAAAAAAACACGAAACCGGTAGAAAAGTGGGAAGCAGGGAGCGCATGGTCGGAAAATGGGAATAATGGATGAGGAGAGCAGGAAAGAGGAAATGAGGGATGAAAGTGAATGGACGAAGACCACTTTGAACATGAAGACCTTATCGAGGCGTTTCAATAAAATATTTCTATAAGTGTTGAAAGCACTAAAAATATTCAACGATCATTTTTACTGCCCTCACTTTTTTGAATTCTCCATTGTGATCGAAATTCAAGAAAGCATTTTGTAGCCATTTGGTGCCCTAAGGACGATCAAATCATTAATATTCATAATCTTCAACGTTTTCTCTTTTTTTTTCTAACCCGATAACGATGAGCTGAAATCACGCATACCACTTTTCGTCTGATGAAAACCCGCAACATTTTGGGGAACCTACTCAATTTGGGGGTGTCCGACCCTCGTACCGATTCGCTGAATTCCCGTTTAGATGCTAACAATGGAACGCTTGGGATAAATTATCCATCACTATTGTGAAATAAATTGCGTATCAGAACAACGACGATACTCACACCTCCTTACATGGTGTACAAGTATTACTGTACTAATGTGAGGAAAAGTGGGGAGTGGGGGACAATTCGTATAATTGGATATGGGATCGCGGTCGAATGACTAATGCTTAGCACTCGAGGTGGTGACCCTCCACTTAGTAACAGACGCAAAGTGAATGATAAATTGGTAACGGTTAACGCCATTTATCATAGTCTACGAAGTCTCTTCATTGTAAAGAAAAGTGAATCGTCGTGATATCAACCAAAGAATGACGAAAAAGTTTTACGATGGAGTAGATGCCACTACCGATGTATCACATTCTGCACACTTCCTGAAAAAGCGCATCCATTTCTGCCTGATTATAGGGATTTTCATTGATGAATTTAGTACAATGCAAAGTGCTTGTAATATTCAGAAGCATTATCAAAACTCTTAGTTTACCATAATTGTTTTAAATGCCTTGCCAGTACTTTACTACTTTATTCATTCACGGATTGTTTTCAACCGTTGACCATCAAAATGTCTTGTTTCTCTTCAAGCTTCAAATTTTGTGCTTCCTGGTGTGATTTGCTCATATATTATATTTATCGCAATAATAATTCTGTCTCTGTTTAGAGCTATTTCTTCGAGATTGAAGCAAAAGAACACTCTAGAACTTCAGCTCCTTCGTCCTATATGTTGTTTTTCCACGTCGTGTGTGAGGGACGATGCGGTGAGAACGAAAATATGTAAATAGACGAAGCTCCCTAATTTCCATCGATGGTGTTTGCTGCTCCTCACGATAGAATCTGGCGCTCTGCGTGTAGGCAACCGTCTCCTAAAAAGTAATGTAAACAAAAGGCCTGATGCGAATACTACTATGTCATGCATGTTTTTCAAGGAAGCGTTCACCACTGTAGAGCTCTATGACATGAGAAGGACGAAAACGGTCCCTAAAAGGATAAAGGATTAATCCCTCGGTGTTCATCGATTCCTGAGAGATCCGCCAAGCATTCGACTTCATTAAGCGTCGTTTGGAGGTGATTAAATGCGCATCTGGCGTTTACAGTGAGTGACTCGTGGTGGCACACCGATATATTGAGCCACTGCTGATATCCTCCCAGACAAGCCTGGTACCAATTTTCCGACCCCATAGGGATGGAAGACTTGGTGGGCGTTGGGCGCGAGGATCAATTTCCCGTGTGTATTGCGGGGCGCCTCCGACCACTGCGCCACAAGCGCCCCTTGAAAACACTGCCTACCTGTGTTAAATCGAGATTTTCCATCTAAAGGATTACGATTGATACAAGTAATGTGTGTAAAAATCTGATCTTGAAACGAATTGACCATGACAAAATTTCCTAGCTGGTAAGTTGCGAAAAAAAGCTAGGGAAAAAGAAAAAACTGGTGTTAGCGAAGACCCTTGATCAGGCGATTTAAGATGTTTTTAAGTGCTACATGAGGTAACTCAAAGAGGATTGACTGTATAGAATGTTTTCGATTCCAGCTGTTGTTTTTTTATGACCTCATAAACAACAGTAAGACTATGGTTTAATTTAGGGGTGTTTTTCCCTTACCTTTTAAACAAAGATCCCAAGAAAGTAGTTTGGTTCATAAGCATTGAAATCAAAGCCACTCGATCAGAAAAGTTTGATATTGGTGATCCATTTGAAAGGGAAGACGATATCTATTGCCGTACCATCGATCTAGCTAGGCAAGAAGCTTTCTATCTGACGATAGTTACTTCTAGAATTTAACTGCGATCGAAAAAGAGAAATTCCAATAACCCTTCTGAAAATAAGCGAACAGCTGTGAAACATACTCTGATGCGAAACGTATGTTATCTATTTGTTTCGTAGTACCTTAGAGTCCCTATCTGTCTCTTTTCATTGATAAGCTAGCACGAGTTTGATAAAAAAAATTTATTCGGCTAAGTTTTCGGTGCATTCACGTTCTTCATAGCCAGATTGATCCGAGTCTACTGTCCACAATTGTTTCTTCCTCTAATGTGATCACATCAATCCCTTAATCTGGTTATAACTAATCAGTTTGTATCTTTTCATTTTTTGTGTAAGAGGATCGAGCCCGAAGACTTGTTCTGTTCAGTCAGGAACGTTTACTTTTCGTTCAAGATAGTTTTATCATTAAGCTGTCACTATCTCGTACGAGCCAGCTTGATTTATGAACCACACGGATGTCTTCTCAATACGAATTGTAACCAACTTAAAGCACAAGTAAGGATTCTCCGGAAGCATCCGAGGGAATGTAATGCAAGAGTACCTAAAATAATTGCCATAAGGCATCAAGTAAAGTGCTTGTTCCTAAATTCTTTTGTCAAATAAAGCTGTATGTATGTCTTTCTTTTAATTGACTCACTACACTCACAGAATGTGATTGAGTCGGTGGCATCGGCGAAAAGACCTCATCACCCGCACACAGCTCTTCACTGGCACGAGGCCTGAAGCACATCGTACGAATCGCTTCATCATAAGTCAAACGACAAATCAAGTTAAGTCGTCTCGAGCACGACAAGAAGGCAATTGGCGAAAATATTTTTACTTCTGTCGATGTACGGCGCGACATAACCGGGACAAATTGGCCACGAAACTGCACCGGTGCATATCTTGTAATTGCTATAGTCAAAGCTATAGTTTCGCATTCGTCGAAGCGCACTAACGATTTCGTGTCAGGATAAATGAAAAGGGTACTGTTGCTTATCTTCTCGAAGAACAGCAGGATCGAAAACTGCGTTGTCCTAAGCAAACACTTCCCATGGGTTTCCATCGGTTCTGCGTTTAAAAAAAAATCAAAAATGAAGTGAAACATGCAGTTTTTCTGGGCAGATTTCCCGCACTTACAGCTAGCTTTTCCAATAATGGTAAAGGTTCTCGATGTGGAAATATCTTTTTTTGAACTACCGCTTGGAAATGTCGAACTTAGTGTCAACATTGGCTATCCGTCTCCTCACTGCATCCAGAAACACTTTTTAAAACATACATCCGGTAAAGGGTGGATTCTGCGAAAAGGAAACGACTACAAAATTTTTTGTTTACCCTGCAAAAATAGTGGAAGAAAATTAGCAATCTTCCTCATAGGCAGAGGCAGTTCAAGCTCGGTAAACGATTTTGCCATCTAACTCAGTTGAAATTTTCTCTAACGAAGACTTTGCCTATAGATCCTCTGCCTCTGGTCGCCGTTTGAATTCTCATCTAGCGTTTATTTTCATTCCTAACTTAAAGACTATGTAAGAGTCCAGGCATATCACCCTGTTCGTTTATCCAAATTGATCAAATCAATCAAAAATTTGCCTATAAATTTGTACTCTTGTAAGTATTTAACTCAAATTTTTATCTATTGGCATATATATATTAAAGTTTTTATATTATTGAGATTATTCGATGTGTTGAAATTTGTACTTAATTTCAATCTACAAGAATTTTCAGCTTTTTTTCTCGATTTGTTGAATATACATTAATCCCTTTGCGTTTCGGACGAGTCGTTCGTTCAAATGAGACGGCGGCGAGTCCCGCGGGAGGGCCGACAAGTCGGACAACCTCGATTATATCCACACCCATCATCACCCAAGAATATCCTGTAAATGTTGTCTCTAGGTGATTTTGACATTTTTGGTTTGAAGCGTCTGAGAAGAAGCGGAGAGTAGACGTTGAACCAGTGCTGGCATTATTTGCCGCAAGAAAACTATATAGACGATGAGGAAGCGCTGTTTTAACCATTTAGAGCACGACAACTACACAACTTTGTTGCTGCACCGTAATGTGGTAGTGACGTACATTGGTCTGTACTTCATGAAGAAAGGACGACAGCAGTAAGAAGCTCATACCTAGATTTCCCGATAGTTCTTTAGTGCAAAAAATATGGCTGCTGTTTAGACCGTGCCTTTGAAATCAATCTGCTGTGAAGCTTTTTATGCGGATATTCACTGCTCGAGACACATCTAGCGCAGTGGTTAGAGGTTCCCTGTGATACACTCATAGTCATTAGTTCGATTCGATGCTTTGACGCAGAACACAACAAGAAAATACAGGACAGAAAGAAACAAATCCGCAAAATTACCTTAATTCTTCTAATGTGTTTTGCGATATAGGAAAAAACATACACCAACGAATCTAATGACTTACCTCGTGAGTTCTAACAGTTTTCTACAGCGGCCGAATGTTCAAAAGCTTTGCCGTAAAAGAGCAACAAGCTTGTTTTTCAGATTGGAGCCTTATTCCCGCTACATCGACAAGTGGCCGGTTCAGAATCTTGTGGTCAAATTTGGGAGCAGTACGGTATCCAACGTACCGAAATTGCACTACACACTGTGCGCGAGCTGCAGGACCAGTTGCCTTTTCGACTTGGCATCTCAGTGAGGTGACAGATTTCGTTTTGACACGCTTTTTTGTGTTTATTGATTACTTTTAAAAGCGAAATTGTGAAACATAGTTGAATAGTCTGACAAAGGGACACGACAACCATTAAATTTAAGTGGTTAGTTGAGTGAACGAATTTACCCGCTTGTTCGATGTTTTTCTTCAATAAGCAGACACGAGGTTGTTATTATAGAATTTATTAGGATATAGTAGCCGAGTTTCGACGGTTTCGCCTTCTTCAGAGCCTGGAAAGGTCAAATTGAGATGTGATCTACTCAGCCAAACACTTTCATAACCGCAGCAGATAAAACTTAACAAATAAATTTGTATTCGCATAAGAGACAGCTTCATTTACACACGTACCGTTTATTTGTTGTAAGTATTTAAGTTGGTGGATAGCACCTGCACAGAGTAATACATAGGCGAGGACTGTGCCTGTGTCAGGTCATTGGATTAGCCTGAGGTATGGCGCCAGGTCACGCGTGATGACAACACACTCCTCTTTACGGTTCATTTTTGAATTTTTGGAATTGATCCAGAACGCTTCAAGGGTTTTACGCGCTGGTGTTTTCGATTTGTGCGTGAGGATAGTGACTCCTACTTCAAGATCTTCTCCGTTGTGTTCCTGCATCCTATGCGCGCCTAGTGGAGCGTTTGGTTTTAATTTAAATTTACCGACTAGGTGTTCTTTTATGCGGACGCAGAGCGGTCTACCCGTTTCGCCAATGTATTCGTCCCCGCACGCTTTACAAGCGATCAGAGAGACTGTACCCGAACTCATGCAATCACCATCTCTACCGTTAGGGCAATTTATGCAGTTTTCCGTTGTACACATTCGGTCATATAGGCGGTTGCGAACTAGCTGGCGTCTTAGTGTCCGATGGTATTTCTATCACTTTAACGGAATTCTCTAGACCGGCCCTTATTAAGCAACGTTTTATGGCTGCACTTATTTCATTTGAAATAGAGGGCAAGAGGAACGGAGCTTGTTTTCGTTAGAATTATCGCTCTGGGGCGTGGTTTTTCCTCTATGCCTATGCCGAGAGGCCACAGTTTCGTAACCATTTCAAATGGCTATTTGGCGAGCCAGTTTCGAGGACTCTTCCCTCTACTCTCTACGTGTGCACACGCCGGCGGCGGTTCGAAACATATTTCTTATAAGCGCTCTTTTAGTGTGTGAGTGATGAGAGGAGAGGTAGTGAACCACTATATTCTTACTGCTTGGCTTTCGATACCATTTTGCGAAGTAGCCGTTTTCGGATAGGTTGATTTAAACGTTTAGAAATGGAAGACAGTTTTCTTTCGGTTTCTCACAGGTGAGTTTTATGTGCTCTGATTGTTCGTTCAATAACTCAAAGCATTTGTCCATCTCCTCTTGTGTGGAGCAGATGATAAAACAATCGTCGGTATACCTACAGTAGAGTAATGATCTGAGGTTGATTATTTGTGCTTCCACTTTAGACATAAAGGCAACGGCAAGGGTTGGTGCCAGTCGCTGTCCCATTGCCAACCCTCTAATTTGCGCGTAATATTTCCCGGACCATCTGAAGATCGAGCAGTTTAAACAGGCCTTTAAGAGTACCATAAGCTGCTGAATCGAATAGCCATACATGTTTATTGTTCCTTCGTGTTGTATAAGGAGCTCGCGGATGGCTTGCATAGCCGAGTCATTCGACACGTTTGTGCAAAGGGCGGTAACGTCGAACGACGCCATAACGTACGCGATTTTGGGACGTGCGTTGCACAGACGGTCTAGGAACATTTGGGTGTTCGTGGGATGGGCTGGTATGTGCCTAAGCAACTGGTTGAGGATTAGATTTATAAACCAGCCAATCCGTAGGCCCATCTACACAACTGATGAGGGGTCTAACTTTAAAGGTGGAGGGGTCGGTAGACGCCAGATCATCAGCGGTCATTAACTTATGGGTCTTGATAAGTAAGTATAAGACGGGACATGTCGGCATTTCGATCTTAAGATGCGAAATATCTGTTGGTTTTAAACCTGCCGCGCTTGCCACTTTGATCCATTCGTTGTTCAGTTTTCTATTTTGACTTCTGAATTCCTTTTCAGTAGATGCGCGATAAAGAGATGCGTCTTCAAGATGTTTTTCCGTTATATCGACATCTAACTGGCAAGGAATTACTACAAACTCTCCGCCCTTATCACTAGCTGATAGCCCAATAGTCTTTGATTTTATTAGCTCTCCAATCTGTCGCATACCAGATTTTTCCGCAGCTGTAAGGTTCGAACTCAACTTTCGCGCGATTTGGCTAAGGACTTTGAGAGTTTCGCTCGTAAATATGCGAAATTTTATATCGAATTCATCGTTTGGGTCTTGCTGTCTAAAGAATAATCGAGGAAGTGGAGATGGTAGTAGTGCTCCTACTTCTCGTTGTTCTTTTTTATTTTGTGTTTCAATTCTAGCGTTGCGTCGGAGTCGAGCTTGGTGCTCGTGTAGGCTGCACGCGATCCTACGCAAGGTTTCTTTAGAAATGGGTTGCGCTGCTAAGAAACTTGGACCCAATTCTAGTAGCGAGCGCGCGTCATCAGGCAGAGTTATGCCTCCCAACACGGCGACCCTTGATTTTTTCAGGCACGTTATCGACCACATTTTTAGTGCTAGCGCTTTCGTAAACGATTTTGCTTTGTTTAATTGAAGCTGGTTCTTAAGAATGATTTAGTAAATTTTGAAACTTTCTGCTTAAGGTTACTTTAGCATTTGGCGTAATAGAATCGCAAATCAAAATTGACCCACCCACTATTCTCCTCCAAAGGGAATTCTTCAAATATTAAACACAATAAGATCCCTTCGACTTGCACTTCAATTGCGCGTACATGGTGTCCTGTTTGCATCGAAGAGGGGCGCGTAGTAGTCGCGTTTCGATGTCCAGTACTAGTTGGCTGTCCCTCGGTAGGCCGTATACGTCGTGTAGTCGTTTTCGTTTGATGAAGTTCAACACGACTCGGTGTTTCAGGCAGCGGTGGAAAAATAGTGCAGTTTGTCTACCTAAGACAATTACTCGCTTGTTACCAATTCACTTCTTCTAATACGCAGCTTGGCGAACTCATCTAAAATTTATTAGTTCCGGAATATTTCGTTTGAACACACGCAGTGGATTTTAACAAATCTTTTCTTGAGAGCTGTTTTTTCCTTTTTAAAGAATCAATGCGTTTCGGAACTGGCGACGAAATTCTGGACAGGCCGAGACGACTAGGGGCGGGTGAAGGCTAACGACGTGCAGAATCTCAGAATTCGTATGATACTTAGCCAGACGGAACTCGACCATGATGGGTGATGTCGTTTCTGATGGCGCAAATTGTCTCATTAGCCGCTACTAGTTCGATTGCCGTTTACGGCCTGTTGAGAGCAGTTTCCGCATCTTGTCACTCACAATTGTTATCCCTTTCCGCCTGTTGGGTTATATAATGGAAAATCCACTTTGCATCTAGAAAAGCGACGAAAAGCGAAACCTCACAACGCAACGCTCTTGCGCTTTAAGGGAAAAAAAGCTATGAGCTACAATTTAAAATGAACATACTTTAAAGCATGTTTTGAACATCTAATCAGGTCTTCATGTCCGACTTTGTATTATATGTAAATTCTCGGAGTAGTTTTGAGCACCTCTGAGCGGCCGTCCCTCCTTAGTGGAAGACAGGTGAAAAAAGCGATGGGGCTTTCGAGAAGCCGTAGATCTTGTAATTATTGTTTAGATTTTCATCGCTCTGTTTGTGCTATTGAAGCATTTGACCTAGTAAGTTGCGTATTAGTGTACCGTTGTAGGCTCTGAAGAAGACGATTCCGCCGAAACGTCAGCTACGGTTGTGTTGTATGTGTGTTATTGTATGGAAGTAAAACTATGCTGTTTAACAACCTCGCGATTGCTGAGGAAGAAAACGACGATCATACTTACTCGCACGTAATGCTGAAATATTTGCAAAACTCCGGACCGCAGATGTATGCGGTAGGGAACGAAAACGCGCTGTTGTCCTTACCGGGAAGCAGCGCACTTCACCACCACACCATCCGGGTCCTTCGTTTTGCCTGTCTCTCAGCTAGTTCTATCGA